TGGTTTCATTAGGCATTTTAATGATTACTTTTTATATCATTAGGGGGTTAATTTAGGATCGCCATTGAGTTTTATTTTCAATCGTTATTGTGTTTACAGGTACTGGTGACATGACTTCAATACCGCCCGCCATTAGTTTGTGGATAAATTAGTAGAAATTTAATAATGATTAGCCAATTTGAATGTTAATTACACGAAGGTAGAAGAAAATATGTATTATTCGTGTGCTGTGTTTAGGCAGAACCTCTAGGCAACAGAAATATTTAAAAACTTATATTCCGAAAATCCTGTAAAAATATGGAAAACGGGGTTTAAAGGCATTCCAAATGACCAGTGAAGGCAATATGTGGCAGTTTTTGCAAGAATGCTACTTCGGCTGGAAAATGTGGACAACGCCTTAAAAATACCTAAAGACGTACTTTGCGACTAGAAAATGTGGATAAGGCCTTATAAATACCCAACTTCACAATACTACTGAGGCGAATATATTCAAAATACCAGTGGTTGGGGACCTACCGTTTTTTGATGGCAACATTTGGCAGTTTTTGCAAGGATGCCACTTCGGCTGGAAAATGTGAACAAAGACGAACTTTGCGACAAGAAAATGTGGATAAGGCCTTACAAATACCCATCTTCACAATACTACTGAGGCGAATATATTCAAAATACCAGTGATTGGGGACCTACCGTTTTGCGATAGCAACATTTGGCAGTTTTTGCAAGGATGCCACTTCTGCTGGAAAATATGGGCAAGGCCTTAAAAATACATAAAGACGTACGTTGCGAATAGAAAATGTGGATAAGGCCTTGCAAATACCCAACTTCACAATACTACCAAGGCGAATATATTCAAAATACCGAAAATCAAGAGGCCATGTGAAATGGAAACAAGAGCAAATACTGGAGCAACATAGAAACAATTTTCTGAAAAGAAATTGTACCCATTAAGACCCTAATTATGAAATTACAGCGGTTCAGTGTTAAATTTAGGCTGAAATTTTCAAAATACAAAAATTTATGAATTACCTGTGTAAGCCAGTTTTGTAAGCCAAAACAAATAAACAAACTGTAAGTTCGGCCGGGCCGAAATTTAAATACCCTCCACCATTTGGTACAAATTTAACAATTTTCCAAAAAAATAATATCCGTTAAAAATTCTGTTAAAATCCTAAAAATACCGAATGTAGCCGTATACCTGCATACGCTACTTTTGTCATAAGCCTGCACAGACAATTTTCTGTCAAAGGCTGTAGTATCCATTACGAACTTCAAATAAAAAAAATTTAAATAATTCCGGTAAATAATGTCTCTAAAATCATCAAAATACCGAATATCGGGGGGTACCGTTATGTGGGGGCTATACGAAGACGAGGACCTACATGGCCCATTTTCAATACCAAAAATCCTGCAGAAATAATACACATTTGAGTAATATTTCATCAACCTACTTTATTTCGTTCGAAAGCTAGAGTGATTTCCACCGACGGATAGACGGACGGACATTGAAAAATCGACATAGAATTTGATGCTGATAAACAATTTATATACTTTATGGGGTCTAAAATTTGATTTGATACTTGTTTCTGGACTGAATTCGGTCGGATGTGACGAAATTCAGTCCATTGGATTGGATAGAGACATATATTGAAGCTATATGCAAATCTTAACCGTTCCTGATATAATTTGGCAGAGGCATTTCTGTGATGTATCTTTATCTTGTTGAAAGAGGAAATATTATGAAAATATAAAACACGATTTTGCCTACAAAGACCTTGTATTTTTTTTTCAAAAAAAAAAAAACTTATATTATTGACGAAGACCAAAAATATCCTTGATTAAACATATGCTATAATATGTTGAAAGCGCCCTTAGGTCCAAAACCATTTTGGTCGTTTTTATACCCTCCAACATAGTATGGAGAGTATATTAAGTTTGTCATTCCGTTTCCCCAAATATACAAAGTATATATATTCTTGATCAGCATAAAATTCTATGTCGATTTAGCGATGTCCGTCCGTCTGTGGAAATCACTCTAGCTTCCGAATGAATTGAAGTAGATTGATAAACATTTTGCTCAAATGTATGTTATGTCTGCCGGACTTTTGGTATTGAAAATTGGCCATGTAGGTCCACGTTTTGGTATAGCCGCTATATAACGGTACCTTCCAATATTCGGCATTTTGATGATTTTAGCGAATTTATTTACCGGAATTGTTTCAAATTTAGTATTTGAAGTTCATAATGGAAAGTACAGCCTAAGACAGAAAATTGTCTTTGCAGGCCCACGTCTTCGTATAGCCCCCATATAACGGTACCTCCCGATATTCGGTATTTTAATGATTTTATGGACATTTTTTCACCAGAATTATTTCAAATTTGGAATTTGAAGTTCGTAATAGATACTACAGCCTAATACAGAAAATTGTCTGTGCAAATCCACATCTTCATTTTTCATCAAAATTATTTTAATATTGGTATTAGAAGTTTGTAAATTGTCTGTGCAGGTCTACGTCTTCGGAGAGCCCCCATAGAACGGTACCTCCCGATATTCGGTATTTTGATTTTATCAACATTATAACAGATTTTTTTAAATTTCGCATTGGAATATTGTAATGGCTTATGACAAATGTTACCTACGCATAGCTACATTCCGTATTTTTAAGACTTTAACAGAATTTTTTATTGGATTTTATTGTTTTTGAAAATTGGCAAATTCGTTCCAAATGGTGGAGGATATTCAAAGTTCGTCCACAGCTTTTTTTACTTGTTCTTCTTAAAATTACACAAAATAGTTCTGTCACCTTTGATTTTTGACCGATGGCATTTGCCGCTCTCTGTGGTTGTTGTCCATTTTACCCGCTAAATATAATCCAATGGGCAACCAAAATGCTAGACTTCTGCAAAACATGCAAAATTCCTTTTCGAATGGATTTTATGATACCTACACCCCTGTGTATATAGATTAGTAGAATAGAGCTTCACATATGGAGCTTCATTGGTGCGAATTTGTGAAATTGTAAATCACACCAACTATGCTAATAGTTTTAATTTGCAATCCAAAGGAACTAATTTATGACAGGAATATCCTCTTCTGAATCGATTTCTTATAAATTTGCCCAGATATTTGTATATTTTTAATTCGGGCTTATAATACCCATTTGGTTAACAATTAACTTGAAATCGAACAAAGATAAATATGGGATATTCAAAATTTTGAGCCTTTGTGGGGGAGGTACCGGAAGGAGTGGACCTATATTGTCCATCTTAACACCAGACCTTGGGTTAATATAGATAATGGGTTCTGTTAAATTTGAAGACAATCGGACTCTCACATTATATTTTTTAAGAGTTATAATTATTCAAAATGTTGACCCTTTGTGGGAGTGTCACTTGACGGAGTGGACCAATATAGTCTATTTTAAAACCTGACCTAGCAAATATTAGGATATGCAAAGTTGGAGCAAAATCTGGTTATCCTTTCTCTTTCTGTGCAAAAAAAAAATATTTTCTGTGGGGGAGGTACCAGAAGGAGTGGGCCGATATTGTCGATCTAAGTTGGACAAAAATATTACGATGTACCCTGTTTGGACCAAATCGAATACTCCCTTCAAGAGTTATCGTGCGCTCCAGCCAGCCAGACAGACGGGCGGATGGACATCGCTAGATCGACTCCAAATGTCCTGAAACGGATTGGTCCATAGAGACCTAGGGTCTAAAACCATTATTTCGACTAGGCACGTTTTGGCCGTATCAAATGATATATACCCTCTGTAGCCATATGGCTGAGGGTATAATCAAGTGATCCTTTAAGTTTCTGGGAAGTAAATTAATTTCCTTGAAAATTTTGACCTTTTGTGGGGGAGGTATCAGAAGGAGTGAACCGATATTGCCCATCTCCGAACTCGATCTAAGTTTGACAATAATATTACGATGTACCAAGTCTGGTCCAAATCGGTTATTCCCTTCCAGAGTTATCGTTCACACCAGCCAGCCAGAAAGGCGGACGGACGTACGTACTTCCTTAGATCTATGCCAAATGTCCTGAAACGAATTTGGTGCAGATATCCTTAGGCCGTTGTCTTTCCATGATGTTCTGATGTTCTCTGTGGAATGTTGGTGTTGTTTTTATGACCGTATTTTTTCTGGTATTTTTTTACGACACTCCCCTCCCAACTCCATTGTTGGTCGTTGGAGTGTTACTAGGCTCTGTAGTTTTGACATTTATTTCGAGGTTAAAAACGGGTATTTTGCCACAATTTTAATCTATTTGCAGGAACTCCAGCTGTAGCTATTATTTTTGGGCGGTGGTGTCATTCCTTTCTCTCTCTATCTCTCTCTAACTCCTCCATGAGGAGATATTTTCTCAGATATTTTCCATGAGGCATATTTTGGTCGTTTGAAATGATAGCATAGACAAATTAGGTATAGACTAAAAAGTTGTCTCATCTGTTATCTTCGAAAAAGTGCTTCAATAGATGTCGTTCATGCTGTAAGAGAGGTTCAGTAGACTCACTCAATTCTCTCAAAATACAAAATATTAAATATTTTTATTATTCTTTATTATTTATCCATTAAAAACGAAACATCGACTTTGTTTACTTTTACATTATCCAAATATGTCGTGAAATATAAAAATATAGAACTTAAATAGCAGAAAAATGAATAAATTGTTTTCGAAGTCGAGTGACTTTACTAGCCCTGAGTGACTTGACTGGCCCAAGATCAACAATAGTGACATCTGCCGGAAGGGGTAAATTTTAAAACTTTTTAGTCTATACCTTAATTTGTCTATGATGATAGCAATAGGATAAGGGTAGCCATATTGGTAAAAGTATAACAATTATTGCATGGTCTTGTTACCTCAAAATACATTCCGAACCCATCTGTCCCATATGCCCACATAAAATACAAACTTTTCAAAATATTTGAATTTATTTTAAAGGAATATTAAAAACAATTCTTAATACTATCTTAACGGTATAAAAAACAATGACTTACAGATTACAAAAACAAACTTGTCTTAAACTACCAACAATCGGAACAAAAAACTTCAACTCATACTCGCTGCATTTAATACTGAAAAGAGCTCCTTAAACTGGGAATCAACCTCGTCTTACCACCACCCTTTGACTTTGTGCAATACCGTCTTGAAAACTGGCACTTTAACGGGAAAAGGGCGGGTCACTTTTATGGGCACATATTTGATGACCTCATAGGGTACGGGTTTCTCAACTGGCACTGGGACATGTTTCTCCACCGGATAGGGCACTACACGTTCTACCGGAATTTTCAAATCTTTCTCCACGGGCACCTGGACATTTTGGGTGATGGGCACATGAATGGGTACTGGCTTTTTAATCGGAATAATAACAGCATGCGATACGGGTATTTGCACTGGCTCATGGACGGGCACGTGCAATTTCTTCACAACCGGATACGGAACATAGTTGATGACATCGGGTTGCTTCTCTTCGTGGTGTTCGCCAGCACCAATACCGCCACCACCGCTGGGTGGAGTCGGTGGCAAATAATTGCTGTGATGATCGTGAGCCTGTTGTATGTCCTCGCCATATGACGAGCTACTTTCGGCTGCCTGTTCGACGCTGTTGTAATTGTAGTCATCGGACTGGTGATAGCGGAGTTGTTGTTGTTGATGCTGGTATTGCTGGGCATAATGTGGAGGAGTCTGGTAGTGTGGTTGGTATGTTTGGTGAGTTTGTTGCGTGAGTTCATTGTAACCGGATGCTGAATCGTAATGATGCAGAAAATTGCCTTCAGAGATTTTGTCGTTATTACTGCTACTGATGGAGCTATCCAGGGTAATGCCACCACCACCACTACCACCGCCGCTGCCTTTGGCCCCCGCATACTGATGATAACCGGAGTAAGGTGTTGACGCTGAAAATGATGTTGAAAGTTTACCAAAGTTCCATGATGGCCGGAAACCATTACTTCCGCCATTATTTGCGCTGACTGACGTTGCACCCAGACCTGCATTGTGCGTACCGGCTGCCTGTAAATTATAAATAGCTGAGTGCAATGCAGCATTGCCACCCAATCCATAATCGTGTTGCTGGTATTGCTGCTGCTGTTGTTGACTTGGGCCATTCTCTGCTGCATAGTCATGTTCCTGCTGGTCCTCGTAGATGGGCTTGGCCTCCGTATATGCTGATGGTTGATGCGTTTTAATGTGGGCAGCTGCTGCTGCTGTATCATAACCATAACCAACACTGCCACCAATTCCCGAACTGCTTCTAATGTGTTGCAAAGCCGACAGACTTGAAAGACTATTTAGAGTGGATGCCAATCCAGCACTGCCACCAACGGCGGATGTTGCCAACGAAGAGTAACTTCTTTTTATGGAGTTACCATCCTCGGCTTGCTGGCCTGCATCGGCATCTGGATGTAGCTGCTGCTGCTGATGCTCCAGCTGACCTTGCTGGGTAATGTGACGTGCCAATCGCTTAATCGACCCAGCAGTCTCGTCTATTGACGCTTTATTTATGTGGTGCTTCTGATGGTTCACATCCATTTCCGTTTGTTTTAATGACGTTGCAGCTGTAACCTCAGCTGCCATGGCGGCTGCCGGTGTTGTTGTTGCGGATAATGATGATTCATAGACAATTAACACCGTTGCCAGGATAAGCAACATTTGCTGTCAGTTTTCATTTAAGTTCGTGAAGAAATTTATGGTGGTGATGGAGAAGATAGCAAACAAAAAAAAAACAGAGAAAAGAAGAAAATCGTAATAAAAACTTGATTACAAAATGTTTCGCTAAATTTTATATATATTAAATTGAAATTCCAAAATTGTAGGAAAATTAAATGCATTACTTCTATAAAATGTCTACTCTTTTTAAAATGTGTAAAAATTTTTAGAACCGGATCTTCCTATCTGTCCTATGTCCGTCTGCCATGCGAATACGTGGACCAGCATAGACAATTTTCTGACACAGGCTGTAGCATCCATTACGAATTTCAAATACGATATATCAATCAATTTCGGTAAGTATTGTACCTAAAATCGTCAAAATACCGAATATAGGGAGGAACTGATGTATGGGGCCTATACGAAGACCTGGACCTGCAATTTTCTGTCATAGACTGTAGTACCCATTATGAACTCTAAATACCAAATTAGAAATAATTCCGGCGAATAATGTCGCTAAAATCATGAAAATACCGAATATCGGGAGATACCGTTATATGGGGGCTATACGAAGACGTGGACCTGCACAGATAATCTCCTGTCATGGCATTTAGCATCCATTATGAACTTCAAATACCAAATTAGAAATAATTCCGGCAAATTTTGTCGCTAAAATCATCAAAATACCGAATATCAGGAGGTACCGTTATATGGGGGCTATACGAAGACGTGGACCAGCACAAACAACCTCCTGTCATGGGCTGTAGCATCCATTACGAACTTCAAATACCAAATTTGAAACAAATCTGGCGAATAATGTCGCTAAAATCATCAAAATACCGAATATAGGGAGGTAGTGGTATGTTGGGGCTATACGAAGACGTGGACCTGCACAGACAATTTTCTGTCATAAGCTGTAGTATCCATTATGAACTTCAAATACCAAATTAGAAATAATTCCGGCAAATTATGTCGCAAAAATCATCAAAACACCGAATATCGGGAGGTGCCGTTATATGGGGGCTATACGAAGACGTGGACCTACGTGGCCCATTTTTTGTTTTAAGCCGTAGTATCTATTACGAACTTTAAATATTAATTTTGAAACAATTCCGGTAAATAATGTCGCTAAAATCATCAAAATACCGCATATCGGGAGGTACCGTTGTATGTGGACTATACGAGGACGTAGACCTTCATGGCCCATTTTCAATACCAAAAGTCCTGCATACATAATAAACATTTGAGTAAAATTTTATCAACCTACTTCATTTCGTTCGGAAGCTATAGAGATTTCCACAGACGGTCAAACGGATAGACGGTAGACGTACGGATATTGATAAATCGACATAGAATTTCATGCTGATCAAGAATATATATACTTTGTAGGCTCTAAAATGTATATTTCCAGGTGTTACAAACGGAATGACAGACTTAATATACCCTCCTTACTATGGTGGAGGGTATAAAAATTGCAGAAATATGGACGAATGTGGAACTTGTCCCCCCTATTTACCCAGCGATCCAAATGTTGGACGTCCAACGCGTTTGCGCAAAGTCTGAAGGTTTTTCCGACGTGCCTTAGGACGTAGGTTGAAATTTTGACCAATATGTTTGAATTATTTTTTTCTTGTTGTAGAGTTGGGGTAGATTTCTCACCCTTTTTGAGAGGTTTTTGTGCTCATACATTGTGGATAAAAAAATGAGTAATTGTTGTCGTGCCGTCTTACTTCGTAAGACTTTTCTTAGGAATTTGTAACGAAAACTATAGAAAGTCGATTTCGGTTTGAAATCGTTCCGACAACTCTAATTTCCTTTCCAAATTTCCCATGAATATTCTAGCGAATTTGATCCGACTTAGGTTCGAAATACATTTACAACTTCAGACTTTCATACGACCCTTTGATTTGGCAACACTTCAACCACTCTATATAAATTTCGGCCAGATGTCGTACCGAATACGCATCCGAAATTGGAAATTTCATTCGACTTTTGGTTCGAAGTCGGACCGAACACGGACAAATTGGTTCGCTGGGAACACACATAAAAAATTTGAATTCTAAGGATATTGAAAGAGAAAATATTGATTGATACTAATAGATATGTCTCAGTTTAATAGAACCACTGTTTAGTCAAAATCACTCACAGCGGTACTTACATAAATCCAAAGTCCAGAGGAAACGACCCTTCTTCATATCGTCGATCTTAGTATTAACCTTTTTCATTATTATAAAATTCACGGATTTTCAATAAACATTCTTCAACTTTAAAATATACCTAAGAACAGAATTATTTCCGAAAGAAAAAACTAATAAATACAGACTTTTGCTATCCCTCGGCTACTGATTTGTGAAAATACTACATCAATCTTAATAATACGGACCGTGGTGGTGATGGTGGTGGTGGTCATAAGCATCATAAATCTTGGTTTGTCATTAACAACATTACACGATTGGCATTACATTCAGCAAATGCAGACGGTCGGACTGCAGTAGTGACTGCCTCAAGCATTTCGCTTGCAACAAATCACGAGATTAACAAAAGCGCTCTCCAAACTTAAATCAATCAAAGTACGGCAGCAACTTAACTCATGCAGCGACACCAATGAACAGCAGCAAAAACAATATACAAAGACCCATACAACAGGCGCAATGGCAGGCAGGCAGGCAAGCACATAAGCCATATAAACTTTGGCTTAAACAGATGACGATTCTGGTTGACTGGCTGATTGTTTGGCTGGTCTAAATCACACACACACACACTCACATACACACAGCGACACTCACACACAGTGGGTGTTCACTGCACTAAGTGGCGATGTTGACGACGATGTTAATGATGACGGCATAGCTGGTGATTATGAATGCAACAACGATACACCTTGGGATGTGGTGGGCCGGGTTGGAGCATTTCTGGGATCTAACATGCATCGGTGTGTGTGTGCACCTCTATGTGAACGGGCGATTATCAAACACAGAACGTAGACAACAATTTTAGCCATTCGTAATGATGGGTTTTGGCATTACATTTAATCCCATGGTACACACGGTGCTATTGCATACAAAATCGGTCATGGGAATTCATGCCGGCATCATCATGTGATTACGGTTGCGTGGGGGGGAGGTAGCGATAAAAGGGGATAAACATTTCCTCTGTTTAAATGTGAAATGCACTGCATGGGCAAAATCGAATATTGAATCAGCGCCAACTAAAGTCAATAAATGATGGCATTACAAATGACGCTGTAAGAAGATGGCTTATATACATTTGATGGAGATTTTTTTTCATACCAAATGAGAGATTTCAACAACTATCTTTTATTTAGATACGCAAATCTATAGACTAATTGGCAAAAATACAAATTAATTGAATTTCATTCAAATTCGCATGTGAATTATTGTTTTCAAAAACCATTCCTTGGAAAAGAACAAAATAGTGTGAAATACTGCGCTGCTGCAGATTTATTATATCGCATGAGATTTTTTTTTAATTTTTTTATACCCTACACCACAAGGTGGTCAGGGTATTACGTATTTGTGCATTTGTTTGTAACAGGCAAAAGGAAACGAGATAGACCCATAGTTCCTTTTGATGATCTGCATAGAATCACTTTCTGAGTTGATTTATGCATGTCAGTCCGTCTATCCGTCCGTCCGTCCGTCCGTCTATCCATGTATTCTTGTGAACAAAATGCAGGTCGCATTTATTATCCGATTGAGATGAAATTTTGCAAACAACATTTGTTTGGCCCAAGGACGAACCCTATTGAAATTGGAGATAATCGGTAAAAAAATTAGATATAGCTACTTTCTTCGTCCGATTTGCATTTTATTGTGCACCAAACGTGTAATATCAGCCCGAATTGTATTGAATTTGGCATATACACACAAATTAGGAATGGAAATATGTATGCCAAATTTAATCGAAATCAGTTCAGATATAGCTATAGCTCCCATATATATTGTTCCACCGATTTGTTATTTTTGTCCACCGCCGCCGTAATATGCACTCTGCAACAACAATATTTGGGGAAATATGTCAAATACAGCTCAGAAATACATTTGCTAAATTTTATCGAGATCGGTTTGGATATAGCTCCCATATATAACTTCGTCCGATTTACCATTTATTACGCACCAAACGTCTAATATTTGTCCAAATTAGATGGAATTTGACACATACGACCGAATTTAGTCTAGAAGGTAGTATGCCAAATTTGGTGAAGATCGGTTCAGATATAGTTATAGCTCCCATATATATTGTTCATCCGATTTATTGTATTTGTTACCCACAGCCGTAATATGCACTCCGTGACAACGATATTCAGGGAAATATACCAATCCGATTTCAAATTAATTTCGCACCAAATGGGCAATACAAGTCCGAATTTAAAAGATACAAATGCTTCGGCATATTTAGTCCTTTGAATTTTAAATTATAATTATAATCATAGCGTGTATGATTGAATTCTCCCATAAAAACTTTTAATTATTAAGTGGAGCTCAACTAACCTAAACCATATGGCTAAGCTAGGCTGGGGCTAAAAAGTGTCTCATCCAAAATAACGGTCTTAGACCCAAGGCCTCTTTGGACCAAATCCGTCTTAGGATATTTGGAGTCGATCTAGCGATGTCCGTCCGTCCCTCTGGCTGTGTGGCTGTTCCGCACGATAACTCTCGAATAGAATATCCGATTTATTACAAACTCGGTACATCGTAATATTATTATCAAACTTACATCAAGTTCGGAGATGGGCAATATCGATCCAATCCTTCTGGTAGCACCTACACAACAAAAGATCGAAATTTTCAAAAAAAATTTCAGCACAGAACCAGAAAGGACAATCCGATTGTGCTCCAAATTTACAGATTCTAATATTTGGACAATATCGGTCCACCTCGTCAAGTACCTTCCCCATAAAGGGTCAACGTCTTAAATAATTATAGTTTTTATAAAATGAGGTGTAAGCCTCCGATTGTCTTCAGATTGTGAAGATGAAATAT